GTTACGCAGGGAGAATGAATTCATCATAGTGGGCAGAAACAGCTCAATTGCAGCCCAGGCTACGAAGGAGGAATAATGGATTCAGTCAGCGGGCTTTATAAGCTTGAATGTGTCATCAACGCACCGGTCACCAGTCAGTTATCATCTCTGTGTGAAGTTTAGGAAACAAAGGGGAAACTTACTGCTCATGCTACTTACATTTTTTTAAAAGCACAGTTATTTTTATGTAATGTAAAAGGGCAGTGGTCATTACTGTGACAGTAGTATATTGATGAAATCAGTGATCATGAATATTTGTGTTAATTTAGATAATAATTGAGTTCAATAACCATCATTCCTTTGTTCCAGCGACACACTGATGCAGCCTTATTATATTTTAAGGCTCATTTATCATTATGTTATCATTATGTCTTTATCAATTATGTTATTAATGTGCAATATCACTGATCACACTGCACCTATGCTCCTCAGATGGCATGTATGTTTATATATATATATATATATATATATATATATATATATATATATATATATATATATATATACATACATACAGTGGGGCAAAAAAGTATTTAGTCAGCCACCGATTGTGCAAGTTCCCCCACTTGAAATGATGACAGAGGTCAGTAATTTGCACCAGAGGTACACTTCAACTGTGAGAGACAGAATGTGAAAAAAAAATCCATGAATCCACATGGTAGGATTTGTAAAGAATTTATTCGTAAATCAGGGTGGAAAATAAGTATTCGGTCACCTCAAACAAGGAAAATCTCTGGCTCTCACAGACCTGTAACATCTTCTGTAAGAAGCTTTTCTGTCCCCCACTTGTTACCTGTATGAATGGCACCTGTTTGAACTCATCATCTGTATAAAAGACACCTGTCCACAGCCTCAAACAGTCAGACTCCAAACTCCGCCATGGCCAAGACCAAAGAGCTTTCGAAGGACACCAGGAAAAGTATTGTAGACCTGCACCAGACTGGGAAGAGTGAATCTACAATAGGCAAGCAGCTTGGTGTGAAAAAATCAACTGTGGGAGCAATCATCAGAAAATGGAAGCCATACAAGACCACTGATAATCTCCCTCGATCTGGGGCTCCACGCAAGATCTCATCCCGTGGGGTCAAAATGATCATGAGAACGGTGAGCAAAGATCCCAGAACCACACGGGGGGACCTGGTGAATGACCTGCAGAGAGCTGGGACCAAAGTAACAAAGGTCACCATCAGTAACACACTACAACGGCAGGGGATCAAATCCCGCAGTGCCAGACGTGTTCCGCTGCTGAAGCCAGTGCATGTCCAGGCCCGTCTGAAGTTTGCCAGAGAGCACATGGATGATACAGCAGAGGATTGGGAGAATGTCATGTGGTCAGATGAAACCAAAGTAGAACTTTTTGGTATAAACTCAACTCGTCGTGTTTGGAGGAAGAAGAATACTGAGTTGCATCCCAAGAACACCATACCTACTGTGAAGCATGGGGGTGGAAACATCATGCTATGGGGCTGTTTTTCTGCCAAGGGGACAGGACGACTGATCCGTGTTAAGGACAGAATGAATGGGGCCATGTATCGTGAGATTTTGAGCCAAAACCTCCTTCCATCAGTGAGAACTTTGAAGATGAAACGAGGCTGGGTCTTCCAACATGACAATGATCCAAAACACACCGCCCGGGCAACAAAGGAGTGGCTCCGTAAGAAGCATTTGAAAGCCCTGGAGTGGCCTAGCCAGTCTCCAGACCTCAACCCCATAGAAAATCTGTGGCGGGAGTTGAAAGTCCGTGTTGCTCGGCGACAGCCCCAAAACATCACTGCTCTCGAGAAGATCTGCATGGAGGAATGGGCCAAAATACCAGCTACTGTGTGTGCAAACCTGGTAAAGACCTATAGTAAACATTTGACCTCTGTTATTGCCAACAAAGGTTATGTTACAAAGTATTGAGTTGTATTTTTGTTATTGACCAAATACTTATTTTCCACCCTGATTTACAAATAAATTCTTTATAAATCCTACCATGTGGATTCATGGATTTTTTTTTTCACATTCTGTCTCTCACAGTTGAAGTGTACCTCTGGTGCAAATTACTGACCTCTGTTTTTTAGGTGGGGGAACTTGCACAATCGGTGGCTGACTAACTACTTTTTTGCCCCACTGTATATGTATGTATGTTTGTGTATGTATGTGTGGGTGTATCCGTACGCATGTGCATGTATAACTTGTACATATCTTTCTTGTGTAAATGTAAATACCTGTGTTATTTTGTAGATTTACAGAGAGATGCCAAACTGTATTTCATTGTTCTTCTAACAGTGACGATAAAGAGCTATTCTATTCTATTTTAGGGTAGCTGAACCTGATGTGCAAGACACAACAATATATGGAAAGTAAAGTGTCTGGCCTTTTGGGGTTTGATTAAAACCTAAAAGTGAACTTTCTTAAATGGACTGGTTCTTATATAGCGCTTTTTTACTCTTCTGAGCACTCAAAGCGCTTTATACAACTTGTGCATTCACCCATTCACACAAGCACATTTGTCTAAGTGCTTTTTTTAGCTAACATTCACACACATTCATACTCCGATGGATGCATCGGAGAGCAATTTGGGGTTAGTATCTTGCCCAAGGATATTTGGCATGCAGACTAGAGGAAGCCAGGAATCAAACCACCAACCTTCCGATCAGTAGGTGACCTGCTCTACCACCTGAGCTACAGCCACCCCAAAACTTCCTTAGAGAACCACAGGTTCCGGGTTACACAAGTGCATACTACTCCCTCCACAGAACAGCACAATTTGGCTTACAGGCACATGTAAGTCTGCCATTTGAGTACCTGTGAAGCATCCGATTACTCTAAGTGAACACTCAGATATTGTCATCTTTTCAGAAGTGCACCAGCATCTCACTCTTAACTTTCTCTTCTGGTTACTCAGTTTGGTCTATTCTGTGAAGGGAGTAGCACACACCTGTGTGTGAACTGTTGTTTTCTGCATTTAGTCATTGCTTCTTTAACAAGCACGACAGTTTTCTGCTATACTAAAACAGTTAGGTGATTATAATGATCAAATAAATCACTGATAAATGATGAACACTTCATCATGCCACAGAAACAATGGAGTGTTTGCTACTAAAAATATGCCTCTATATACCTATGTCGATATCTGAGTAAAAGTCATAAATGATTAATGATTCCTTTGATCATCGTCAGTTACAGTCCACATCAGCATTACGTTATATTAGGTGGAAATAGTGTCTTTCTCCTAATGACCCTTAGTTTTTTAATCTAAGAGGAAGTCATTTGTGCCTACGTCAGAGGAAACTGCACTACTACTGTTACTCCAACACAGGTTGTTTTTCCAAGCATTGCAGTCACGATATAGTAATACTGGGTTTGAAAAATAAGGTGGAAATGCAGTATAGCTAAAACTTGGCAAACTCGCCAGAGTAAAATTATACTGTTTTACCACCAAACCACCGTCTTCCAGCGTTAATACCGCTATAAATAATATATTATTAAAGTTATAATTAGTTTATAAAGGCAAACTACTTCTCTAATCGCAATTTTCATTTTATGCTGGTGGCAGTTTGAGTAAGGTACTTCTTCTGAAAGCACACATGACTGAAGGCAAACTGAAACGTCTTTGACCCATATTGTCTGCTTCTGTTGATCCAGAGATAGGCAGTGTGCTTTCCAGTAAACATCAAAGGAACCTTGTCCTTGAAAAAAGCCATTAAATGTCAAGGAATACTTGAGCTCTCGCTCACAACAAATGATTCAGCAGTGCTGTATAATTACTGCGATCTGACTAAGTGGATTTCTGAGAGAAACACTTGCTGGTGCCTTATAATAAAACCCAAAAAACATAACAAAAACAAAACATATTTGCACTTGCAGCTGAAGGCCACAGGAAAGACGGGTGTCAAATCAAACACGCGCAGGTTAATGCTTGTGTACAGAAACAGGAAATGTGAGTGCTTTGTGGTTCTAATTGCACGCTGTCACACATCAATCACAAGCCTTTCTTATAGCCATTTCAGCTGTCCACATCAAGTAAAAGTATTTCATACTCACAAAGAAATCTGCACATGCTCTCTGCAGTAGTTTAACTTTGTGACTGGGGTTCTTAACCGCAGAGTGCTGCTGCTTAACCTGCTCCTGGAAAGAGCTGAGCTGAAGCGTCCTTTAATTTTTAACATCCTTCTCCACGGTGTCCTGTGCTGAACTGATACTAGGGTAGCTGTGAGCCAACCACTCCGAGCTAGACCTGCGGCTCTGACACGACAGCACCCTCCATGACCCACCCCTGACTCCACCCGAGGGCAACTGCTGTGTCCCACAGAGGGAAGTCCTGCCACTTAATTTGGCAAATCAGAAGTGTAGTAAAACTGGAGTGGAAGTAGAAAGAGCAGCACTTCCCCCCCTGAAAATAATATGACTAAATGCAAATAAGCTGTTTGCAGATGTGGATTGTTTACTAGACTTGGTGCTGATTTTCTAATAGTCCAAATAGAAGGTCTTTAAAAGGCCATGCCAGGCAGCATAGCTTTAAACAAGGATCAAAAGTAAAACGATTCAGTGGATGAACAGCAACTATTTCCATCTTTGACTCTGGTTCAGCTTTTCCACTCACACGACTCCTGGATGCTATCAGCATCTGAGCTGAGATAAAGTCTTTTAATTAACTCTGGCACATCTCTCACTAAATGTAATTAAGCTATCTCGAACTCTGTATAATGCAAACTGTAGCCTCTAGCATTTTGGGCAATGAGTGGGCATTACCTGGTACACTTTTTTTTTTTGGGAAATGTGCCTTTTATAAATCTCAACTCTGTGGATGTACCCCAGCAAATTCATCATCAGGCATCAAAAACATTAAGGTAATGTTTGCTATCACAGACGCCACACATACAGCGAGCTTGTAGTGATGGGAGTCAGCTAAAAACACATATGTGCATGCACACAGCAGCTTTCACACAGCAAGCAGGGAAAAGTTGGAAACTCACTTGTAGCTCACTGAGATTGGCCATCATGCCAGCGACAAATGAGATGACTTCTGCTACCGTTTGTCTTACTTTACAGCCCTCGGATCATTGCAGCACCAGTAGATAAATGCAAAGAGTCCAACGTTGGAAGTCCTGTAAAAATAATAATAAGTTTAAAAAAATAATCCGTGTAAAGGCGCAGTCTGATGTGGGGAAGGTGGGTGAATAAAATGCTAACATGGTAACGTCTGGAAAAACGATAGAGAAGCAGGTGGACAGTGGAGAGAGGGGCAGACCATCACCTCCTGGTAGCAGGACGTTAACTCTCGGACTCCGGGCTGCATCACGCAGACAGTGCGGGCTGTCCTGGAGTAGTGTGAGGGAGAGCGCTGCTGCGGGGATCGTTCTCATCGTCAGGGGAGGAAAGCCCTGTGAGGAAACCCACCACCCGCCAGGATTCACTGAAACACCCAGCTCTGCTGCCTGGAGCAAACAGAGGCCATCTTCTCCCCGAAGCGATGCGCTCCGGCTCGGCTCTGCGGGAAGCTGGGAGCCGGTTACTGTTGCTGCTGGGTAGGGAACACAAGCGCTGAAGGAATACAGAGAATATAAAAATGGGACTTCCTGCTCTGACCTTCAAAATAAAGTACGCATCGGCGATAACACGCACAGTGCACGGAATGCAAAAGAAATTTGGTTCTTACAAAACTTTAGGTTAAAATAACCGTGTGGAGACTTTCTATAGCTGCCACACTCACAGTGACATTTGTATAGAAACTGGAGCATACGCACAGAATCGTTTTTAAACCATTAAAACAAGCGTTTATTTATTTTTAACCAACTTACCACAGAACAGGAAGTCAGTAGTCTGAGTACACAGGGAGAATGAATAGTACACATAACAGACCAGTCACACAGGACAGACAGTACTGCATTAAACACTAATGCTGTGCTTTACTGCTATTTGTGGTACAGATCTGACACCAAGTAAATAAATAGTTAACGCAATACACCGTTCAGCTTATTGTGTATTTTGAAAACCTGGTATGTTTGTCTCTAAAACACTTAACCTTTCTGCTCCGGGCTATAAATAAAATAGAGGTGACAGTCAACACAAAAAGGCTCAGACATTTTTCACAGTGCGTGTTTAAGTTTTTTATTTTATTTTATTTCCAAAAATAAATGTGTTCAACATAATCCAGTGGGCCACATACCGAAGTTAGAGGATAGAGACAAAGTATCGATCCTACTACGCTAGTATCAATCCGATGCCATTACCAGCGCTGATACCAATACTATCAATATTTGGATCGATTCTCCCACTTCTATTAAACACAGCGGCATAAACACACTAAAGAGGAGATATCACTGTTTGAGCTCTTGTGGGAGCATACGGCATTTATTTCGAATTGTATGTCCCAGTAGTTAATAAATAATCCCCCCATCAAACGCTTTAATTTGGCAGCGAAGTCGTGTGGGATTTTATTTTGAAACCAGCACAGCCTGGATCTGCTGTTATTGCGGACTTCTTTGGTCAGCTTGACGCAGCTGGAAAGAGGCGCAGACCGTTGCGGCAGCCGAGCGCCCTCCTGCTTTCATGTGAGACCTGTTGATCACATTTGAACGCATCACCGTGCTAACCTGGTTGTAGGAACACTAAACTTCATACAGTCAGTGTGTGACTGTATGAAGTGTGGATCTGTTGAATTTGTGCACTGCAGCTTACTGTGTAGGCCTGAGTTAAAATCAACTGATGATGTCTCTTCTTCTTATAAAATCAGTGTAATGGCCCTTTAAGCTGCTATAAAGGAACTATCAGTTCATTTATGTTTATTTATGTATTACCAGTGTATTGCATTCCTTCTCTTCTACAGGATCAAACAGCTCCTGGTGCCATTGCCAAATCATGCCAGAGGGGAAGACTGGGCTGCTTACCCTGAACACTACAGCTGTAGATGAATGATGAATTGCGAATTTGATGTCACTGCAGCAACAATATGACCACTGTGCAGCCAAATCTCCTCAGTCAAGACAGAAGGAAGAAAAACTTTGAACCTCTTTCTTATTCATGCATTACATTATTATGAATGAACCACAATGCACACTTTGTGAGTGAACATTTTTAATCAGGTACCCAAAGAGTACAGTTTTGTATATATGCCGCTTTTTATTTAGGACCAAATAACCAGGCCAGCGTGGTTTTTTATTATTTATGCTGTTCTGTGTGTTTTTCTGCCATGTCAAGCTATGCTGTCAGCTCTCAGAGAATAATGTGACCTCTGACCCTGCATGCTAAAGGATGTTCAACTAGAAAAATTGTAGAGGGTGAAGGCAACAGTGATCCTTGTGGTAATCGTAACACGTGGATCATTATGTCCATATTGTCCTCTATATCTCACTATATTGTCACATACCTGACACAGACGTTGTTAAGGTTAGTTGATGTGTGAGCCGCCACAGCTTATGTTACACACTGTAGCTCATGTTGTGAGGTAGACTTGCTGGATTCAAACCTCGACCTGTTGTTCCAAAGATGCCACTACACCATCCAGCTATGTGTGACATGGTTACTTATTGTGTCATTTCGTGTAATTTCAGAAACCGCTTATGTCATATTAATGGCAGGCATCCTAGAAAAGCGATCACTCCCATCGGGATGCGAAATGGGTCCAGACTATACCAGCAAAACAAAACTCCTATTAAAAAGATAGCAAATATAGTTATTTCTGTTTAGAAGTTAATGAGGTCGTACTGTATGTATTTATTGACATGTTAATCTGCAAACTTACTGAACTTTAGATATGTAGTGAAAAAAAGTGTGATTTTGCATCTGAAATGTAGCTGAGTAGAGGCTACATTTAAAATACAATGGAAACAACTTTAAAGAACTACAAACTATAAAAGGGTTTGATGACACAGCGAGTTCACTCACCTTGGTCTAACAAACCCAACAGACGGCTGAGGGAGACATACAGGGTGAGTGCAGACTGTGTACACCCACACTGTCTTTGTGGATGGATTATGGCTGAGCTCAGAGTGCAGGAGTAGAACTGGATTTTATTTGTGATACAGATTTCTGTATGAACAGACAACTGGTGATATTTGGACCTGGGATTTTTATGGAAAACAATATTTTCCACTAAGCAGTGCAATCATATGTGTAATATGTGCCATCTACAGTGTACACACAGTCTTCAGGTACTGGGTTGGACTCCCTTTTGTTTTCAGAAACACTTCAATACTTCACAGCACAGATTTGTCTGTTGCACTTCCGTGATGTTCCACCTCATCCCAAAGATGCTCCATTGGATTGAGATTTGGTGGCCGTGGAGACTTGTTGTGTTCAAGAAACCAGTTTATGGCGATTTTAGCTTCGTGACACTGTGGTCATAAGAGATGGGCATGGTCAAAAACAATACTAAGTTAGGCTGCAGTGTTTAAACAATGCTTAAATGAAGAAAGCAGCTGGTGAGTGTACATTGAGTTAACCCCTCATTGGCTACCGTACACATGTGACCCCGAGCAAAGGTCCTCTTCTCTTCTGTATGAAAATAATCCGACTCAGTGTTTTTGAGTAGCTGCTTCTCATTTACATCTTTTTTAAAATTGTTTGTTTTTCAAATGACGTGAATTTTAAAACAAGACTATAACCAATTGATTTAAAGCAGTTTTATTTACTATTGAAAGCATAAAAGTTTTGACATTTTATACTTTAAAATGATCTGGAACACTGGCACAACAAAGAAAGCTTCTCCAGTACTAAAGAAGAGGATGACGATCACTCGCACACTGAATATCAAAATACTGAGAATGTAAACAGCAATTTTGTATAGATTCATATGAAATTCAATAGCAAAGGTACACAAAAATATCTGTGTAAAGTGGCTTGAGGCGGAGTAGACTGTACTTTGACAATAAAGGTGCACATATAAGTCTAATCACACATGCACTAGTTACGCTTGCTTGTATGTTGGTCTTTTCAGAAAAAACAAACTCTTAATGATATGATAGAAAGCAAGCATACGACAGCAGAGGCCACATAACACATGCATAGTCCAGCTGTAGTACAAATATTTTTGGAAAACTATATTCTGTATGCACTTTGAAATATAATCTGCTTTTTACAATATTCATTTAGGATACTTCAGAATCATATAAACGGGCACTTTGCTTACAGTAGCAGTAGATAAAGGAAAAGCCTATTAGCTATAACACAAATTAAATGATGTCACTGCAAGAGATTCACAGGCTGTGTAAGTGGAAGAATGGGTCAGTGTGCCACACGTGCTGTCAACAGGTGGCAGTGTTTCTTCACTTCGATCATCCCAGACAGACATCACCTACCTTGTGCAGACACAAAGAGAAACACAGGTGCTTTTTTTCTCTTCACTCAACACATTTAAATATCAGACAGGCTGCTATGTTCTCATTACCTGACTGATACAAGTAAACACCTCTTTTAAAAAATATGATAACAAAGGGAAATATATAGAAACTCTTCACAGACTATATTAATATACTTAATAAAAGAAATATAGAGGTTGGTACTTGGCCTGCCCTCCACCCTCCAATCCCCACAGCCTCAGAGTGGGTGCATTGTCTCATCTCCGCATCTCCTCTTCTTCTCCCCCCACCATGATGTCATCTGTAACCTCGGAGACTCCCTGAACACTGGGTGACCCAGGAAATGAGGTTATAACTTCGGAATGTGTGAGGGGGGACAACTCTTCCCCCCGCCAACCAGCCCTGCACCCTTGTACGCCTTCCCTCACCCCTCACAGCAGAACAAGGAGCGCCCTTCTTCTCCTTAACGCCTCCCTCTTCCTCCGTGACTGACAGCTCTATTAAGTCCATGAAAACCTGCTTGTCGAGTATAGTCACAGTAACACTGAGCAGAGACTGGTGTTTGTAGGGGGACACAATACACCGATTTAGGTATTTCACTATGGGGATTTGGGGAGATGTAAAAGCCCAGAAAAAATATTCATCTATCAACAGTACTGGCTATGTAACACAACACTACTTACCTGTATAAATACTTTGGCAAATACCATAACAGCGAATAAACAACGGTAGAAAACCAGTGCAATTTGTCATAGCTCAGTCTCTCGTTTGAGAGAGCGACCAGTGTTTGGTCTAGATACAAAAGAGACAACAACGTGGAGCGCTGCACCCACACGACACAAGAGACAACAGGGCTGCTAAAGTAGATCCAGCGCATTTCAGAGTAAGACAGCTGAGGACAGATGTTAAGTGCTTCTGGTAAGGAGAACATGCTCTAATGTGAGGCGACAGTATGACAGTATGCATGTCTGGGTTACAGTAATCAATTACATGGGGTCATCTACAGCGAATATGTTCTACTACAAGTAATGACATCTGTTGAAGACCAGGTTGGTATGGTCTTATGGTTAAATCAAGTATCCGGCTTAACCGTAAAATTCTCGTATGGCTTCATTAACGATGGCACATTAAATTAAGCAGATCAGATCTGTGAGAGGAGTTCAGTCGTATGATGCACGCTGCTCATGAATAACAGCGTGAGATTTTGGCACAGCATTAGACGAGTAGATCAATATCACCCTTTTGGCTCTGGTGTGTGGCTGTATGTAGAAAATGCTTCCTGCAGCTCTCCTATTTGTGTTCCAAGCCCCTCCCATCGGTGAACCTCATCACATGAACTCAGAGCCTCCAGAAATCCACACCAAATCCTGGTGTCAGCAGTTCATCACACAGGAGGGGACCGTTTAACCCCATCAAATAAAGGTCAGTTGTCGTCTTTGTGCTTTGCTTCCATACAGATTTATTTGTGAGCTTATTTGGATACATTTCCCTCCATCTTTGCCAGTAGATTTCAATTTCTTAGAATAACTGTGGCTCGACTGAGCTGAACAGCAGTGAGAGTCGTATCAATCTTCTCACCTAACCCTGTGCCAAAAATTAAAAACAGATATTCATAAATATGTGAAACTGTTCCTTGCACCGATTTATTGATGTGCTTCTCCGCCTCCCTTGTTCAGTGATGGGTCTCCACCTCGACCACAGTCCAGTCACTGATTGGGGAGCTGCCCTGGCTGTCTGGGGAGTAGCTGCTGACAGATGTGACTGTAGCGGTAGGAGGGCTGAACTGGGGAAACAAACTGGGCCACATGCTGCTCTCCAGGGGGCTTAGGGTGCCCCCGGTCCCCACAGGGAGGAGGAGGAGCGGAGGGCAGTCTGTATCACCAGACAGCACCATGGTCTGGTTGATGAGCTGCTGGACCATGTCCACCTTCTTATTCCATTCCAGTTCTTGTGGGGGCACCGGGCGCAGGTGCTGCTGCCGGTGGGGGGACCGCCCCCTCCTTCTCACCTCCCCTCTGGCTTCGTCCTCCTCGTCGCTGGTTTCCATGGCTTCGTAGATGGTGCAGAGCCCCGAGGAAGGGGAGAGCATCACTCCGGTCGGGCTCCTCCTGAGCTGCTGTTGCTGCTGGATCTGTTTCTGCTGCATGCGGTACTGCTGCTCCAGCTCCAGCTGCCACTGCAGGACCTGCCTGCGGTGGCGGTGCTCCTGCTGTTGCTGCTGCAGCTGCAGCTGGAGGAGCTCCCTGCGCTGCTTCTCCAGCTGCTTCTGTTGCTCCAGCCTCAGACGCTCTTCCTCCAGCCACTGCCTCTTCTGCCTCTCCTGCACCTGGCGCTGCTGCATCTCCCTCAGCTTTTCTTGGTGTTGCTCCAGCCTCTTCAGCTGTTCTCCGCCAGCGTGACCATCAGCAGCAGCAACGGTCAAAGATGGAGGGGGAGCAATTTTGGCAAAATGGGCAGCAAGAGTCGGATCAATGGGCCTCCTGTTGCCCGGGACCATTGCCAAGTAGTGACCATTCGCTATGGGAGCTGCAGCAGTGTGGTTCTGGTTCTGGTTGTCTTCCTGTGAGTGTTTTTGCCATCTGTGAGCTTCATCCACTTCATATCTCTTCCAATCTCCTGTGGGACAGTCAAGATCACTTGGTGCATCCGTTATAGATGCATGCATCAAACAGAACGGGTGGTACAACAAGGGGCCAGGAAGGAGGAGAGATCTGACACAAATGCAAAAAGGTGTAACAAAAAAAAAGGAACAAAAAACAAGGGAAGGGGCTTCCAAAATAAAAGCGATAGAGGATGCTGAATACCGCAGCTACAAACCGGTACAATGAAACACATCACACAACACTCAGTGCAACATGTTTCCTCTAATGTCACACCTTTGTTTCATATAGGACCACTCGGTTGAGTAGTCTGCACCAAAATCCCAGTCTCACATTTGAGGTGTCATTCTCAGGAACATGATGTCTGTCATGCAGGACAGTGGTCATATATGTGATTCACAGTAGAGTACAGACAACGGGCACATGGGATAGAACTGATAAAAAATATAATCACAGGAAGTTGATCATATCAAGATAATGTGTGGTTTTAATCATGTGGAAAAGTAACTTCAGTGTACGGTAGAAGAAACGGTATAATCACTGAAGTATAATCACCAAGTCAGGGAAGCACAAACCTGAATCAAGTCGTTCATGGTCTCATGAATGTAAATTTAGTGTTTAGGAAATGACAAAAGCTGGTATTTTAGAGACATCTAAGCTACAGCTGTGTCAGTGTGTGTGCTGTGGGGTATGTTCCGGTCAGGGTTTCAAGGAAGAGCACGAGGCCAGACCAGAGAGGAGATGGTACTATTTATATCTGCATATGTAGCGAACGAGGATGCAGATTCACCTCATGCCCTTCTGCGCATCTGATTGGCTAAACTCAAACAGGACCTGCATTTTAAGCAGCACGAGTCATCCAACTGTTTTATACCTGCAAGCTTCTTTGCAGCCCACCTCCATTCCACCTCCCCAGTTTATATCACGGCTGACTTAATGTCATGTTCATCATAAGTGGTTTTTCTGGAGGTGGGGGGCTTCTTGGCATGTATGTAAATAAAGAGCAGAGACGCCCCCCCCCGTTGTGCATTACTGCAGGAGGGAGAATAATCAGAAATGATGCTAAATGTGTTCTGTACAGTTTTTGAGCACTGGTAGCCCGATGAATTCATGCCTGGGCCCCTTTATCTTTGTGAAACAATGGGTACAATCTGCTACTACAGCTGTGACAACTGATGGTGGCAATGTGACAAGAAGTGTAGCAATGTGCTTGTGCAAAGACGAGGAGGAAGAGGAACTTTAAGCGATCTTCTTAAATGCTTGTTTGTAGTGTAGGAGTCCCATTAAGCTGACCTTCTTCTGATTGGCTGCTGCTTTTCGGTGGGGCTTCTGTGCCAAGTCAGAGCTGTAAGCCTGACGTGAACATATTAAGGTCATATTAAGGAAAAGTATATTTTGAGGTTATTATACAGCTCTAGGAGTAGAAAACTATCTGAAACAGAGTATTTAGAATGCTTCTACTGACCATACTTAATACTGTGGCCATGTTTAATGTGAACATCCACCAGTGTGTGACAGTGTGTATGTGACGGAAAATCATAATAGATCCATTTAAATGTTTTTGAGGTGTGACAAATGCGTCTCTCACAGAACAGCTTTGTTTGTTTACAAGAACTTTAAGTGAGAGAGAGTGTCAGAGAGAGAGTGCGCTGAACATTGTGTTGGCGGATCTGAAAAGTTGACAAAGGTGTAAGCGTGCTGAAGATCTTGGATCGCCTTTTTACTTTGACCAAAATTCCATCTAGACACAACACCATTGAACAATGGCCACATCACTTCCTGTTTAACAGCAGTTCCCATGGCGAAGAATAAGAGACGCCACTTGGGAAATACTGTTGCATAAACACACACACACACACACACAAACACAAGGAGACGAGTTCAGACATGCTCGGATCCATAGGGAAAAAAGGAAACAGGAACAAAAATGCCTTGCAATGATGTTTTAATGGAATTTTGAAAGATAACCTAATGTGAACCATTCATTTCTGAACATCATGTCTAGTGTAGAATTGTTGCAAATTTCCAGGTAGTACAGAGTCTTTGTTAATTAAACATGCAATATACTGTTGAAATAGTAAACCAAACGCCCACTATGAAAAGGTTTCAGAGAGTGTAAAGCTGTGATGTGGAGCTTATGTAGCGTCTCATCACGAATAAAAAGGCTAGCCGTTAGTCTCTTCTTGGAACACAAATGATCTGCTAACTGAGGCTCGAAGCTTGAAGCCACTTAACCAAACGCCTGAAACACATACCGTACGTGACTGCACGTTATATACCTTAACAACCTATGCAAAGAGCAGTAGAACCTCTTGAAGCACACATTAAAAGCGTCACCAACTGCAATCTATTGACCGCCCCCCCCGCACACACACCTACTTCAACTAATCCGTAACGGCAAAATGAAACCTGCTGTGTTAATATCTAGCCTTTATTTTGATAGCTAAAAGTCTTGAAAGCAGAAGACAAACAAATAAAAGAAAAAAGCAACTATCGCTATGGTGCTGTTGAACATGGAGTGTGTGTACACAGGGAAGGGGAGGACCAGGTTTTAACAGAAACCAAAACAAAACAAAAAAACCCCAAAAAATAAGCAAATACAAAACAACAACAAAAATCATTGACATTTGATTGGTAAAAACAGTAGGATAAATACACAATGAGTCCATATTATTCCGTCTGTGTGTTGTCTTTTTTTTTTCCTTTTCCTTTTTTCGGTTTAAAAGCTCAGTCACATTGGACCAATCAGTCAATACCCCATCAGGGGCTACAGAATAAGCAGGGTTACTTAAAAAGAACATCCTACTAGAAAAATGGAGTTAAGCCATACACTCATAACCGTGACCATAACAGTATGAAAGAGGGAGGCTTCATTTAAAAATTGCTACAGTCATTTTTTTTCCTTCTCCTTTGTTCATTTTTTTAAAATCTTTTTTCCTACAATCTTGCTCTCCTTTTTTTTTCTTCTTCTAACCATCTAACCCAATTGGAGAGAAAACAAAAGAAAAAAACAGGTAAAAGGGGGAGGGTTGCAGGGAAAAGGTGCATTCCGGGGGGTAACAGGAGGGACTTATACGTTACCTGCCAGAAAACTATCAGTCTTATCAGATATGGTAGAGTAGTAGGATGCCTGGTTGTCGCCGGTGCCTCCAGATTCCTCGGCCTCGACTGGATCGATGTCCTTCAGCTGGTCTGCTGCAATCTTCCCTCCCAGCATGTAGTGGTGGTCATCTAGACTGGGATGGTTGTCCTCCGGGTGACCCAAAGGCATCAGATCCACAGATCTGCCCAGCAGGTCCTCTGCAAGGGCAGAGGTGGCAGCTGGTGGCAGCGTCAGCTCCTTGATGAGGGAGGGGTCTTTGGCCTCCTCTGGCAGCTGCTCCTCATTTTCCAAGGAGAAGATTCCAGGGCTCTTCCCGCAGCTCTCAGCCATGGAGTGGGCGTTGGAGTTGGATGTAGTGCAGTCGAAGCCGTAAGACGCTACAGAATTGGCTGACTGAGGGGTGGCCCCGCCCCCATCCTCCTCACCCTCCCCAGCTGGTGTGTCCCCAGCCTCTTCGTCCTCCTCGAGAGCGGGCAGGCTACACGTCTGAGGAGGACTCTCAAACCCGGCACTTTCATCTACCATCATGGGTGCTTCAGGGTCATTTATTTGCATCTCCCCTTCTGTATCGCTGGCCTCGTCTCCCGAGGTGGAAGGGGAAGAAGGGGCGGATGCAGGAGCAGTTGGGGGTCCGGTGCCCAGGACCTCGTCGGCGGGGAGCGTCTCGGCTTCCTCCTCTTCTCCGTCGCCTTTTTCTAAGTGAATACCGAGATCCTGCTCCATGTCAGGCTGAACCGAAGCAGGCACTGGGGTCTGCTGCTTGTCAGAGCGGGACTCGACTCCAGAGCTGCTGTCATAGTCACGGAGTTCCTCTGGTGTGCTTGTCTCGCTGCTGCTCTGGGCTGCCAGAGCCGTGCCGCTTAGAGTGCTGGACTGGGACATGCCTACAGGTGGGGCAGCAAGTAGGGTGGGAGCCTCTGCAAGAACTGAGCCCTTCGTCTCCTCATATGATGACTGATGAAGGTTGGTTTCTTGCTCCATCTCAGGAGCAAAGGATGGGGCGCTGACGTCCAAACATGCCTGGGCAGGAGACTGGGTGGGCGCTTCAGACTCAGCAGCACCGTGGTCGGACACAGGGCTGGGGGAGGAGACGGAGAGCAGTGAGGCTGGCTGAGCCCAGGTATCACAGAAGGGGTTGGTCTGGCCCCAGGAGGATGCAGGGATGGAGGGCGGAGGACCCGATTGATTGAGGTTATCTAAATGTGCCTCCTCATTAAAGTCATCCTCATTCTCACAGCTCTCCATCACTCCTTCACTGCGCATTTCCACGTCTTCATCCTCTTCCTCATCTTGCCCTTGCTCCTGGAAAACTTTATGGTGTTCGTCTACCCTCTCAGAGCTCAAATCCATATCGTCCACCCGCTCATCCTCATCATCCTCGTCCTCTTCTTCATTGGCTAGGGTTTCCACATTGGGAGAACCCATGAGGTTACCATCTCCCTCAGAACCACGGAGGCTAGTGTCAACCAGGGCATCTGAACTCTGGGTGCCCTCTAGAATTGCGGTATGCTGGGTGCTACTAAGGTCTGAGACCCCCTGCTGTCGGCTGCTGGTGCAGCTGCTCACATCCTCGGAGTCCATCCCAGACAGCAAGTCGTCACCGTGCCACCCTGTTGAACCTCCAAAGGCAGAGGAGCGCACTTGGAAGTCGTCAGAGGGCTGAGACGTGCTCATGTCAGTGATCAAAGATGAAGGCTGATAGCCCAGTCTCCTTTGTTCTTCATCATCATCATCCTCTTCCTCATCATCATCCTCGTTGATTTCCTCATCAGCCTTTTCCACGGCCTCCTCCTTTTCATGAGGAGAGATCAGGCCTCTGGGGCTGAAATCATCCAGAGGGGAGGCACCCAATAAGTGAGGTTGCACTGTGTTATTAAAGGCCTCGGGAGCTGCGGGGGTATGCATAAACAAGTTTTCCTTCTCTTCTTCTTCCTGCTCTTCGTCCTCTTCCTCCTCTTGTGTCTCCTGAGCCTCAAACTGCTGGCACTGTTCCTCTTCTCTCTGGAAGTTCATCATACTGCTTGGGCTTTGGTTTATGTTCCAGGGATCAGAGTGGACATGGGTGCCCAGGAGAGAGTAGGCATTCTGTTGGTCTCTGACAGGAGAAGCAGGGCCTTGTGGGGAACAAGGAGGAGACATGACTGTAGTACCCAGGGAGTCGTTGGCAGGCTCCTCAAATTTGAAAGGATCTATCTGTGCAGGGAGCTGAACACCACACACTGCTTCATGGACCGGTTCTGCCTCCTCCTCTGCTGGTGGGTCAGACAGGAGATCTACAGATGCCTCGGGGGATGGTTCTTCTTCTTGATGTGAAATTAGTTCTTGTACAGGTTCTGGTGTTGGTTCTCTTACGGGCTCTGGTGAAGGTTCCCTGACAGGCTCTGGAGTAAGTTCTCTTACAGGTTCTGGTGTAGGTTCCCTTGCAGGTTCTGGTGTGGGTTCCCTTGCAGGTTCTGGTGTGGGTTCCCTAACAGGTTCTGGTGTAGGTTCCCTGACAGGCTCTGGTGTGGGTTCTCTTACAGATACTGGAGTGGGTTCCCTAACAGGCTCTGGTGTGGGTTCTCTTGCAGGTTCTAGTGTAGGTTCCCTGACAGGCTCTGGTGTGGGTTCTCTTACAGATACTGGAGTGGATTCCCTGACAGGCTCTGGTGTGGGTTCTCTTGCAGGTTCTGGTGTAGGTTCCCTGGCGGGTTCTGGTATGGATTCCCGTGCGGGTTCTAGTTTTGGTTCACAAACTGATTCAGCCACTGGTGCACAGACTAGTTCTGGTTCTGGTGTGAGCTCTGCTGATTTTTCTTCAGGAGTTGTAATGGATGGCTCCACAGCTAGTTCTGCAGGAGGCTCTGGTTGTTCTGGCACAGCAATAACAGCTGCTGTGGCAGCAATCGCTGCTGCAGCAGCTACAGCTGCGGCAACTTCCTTTTCAGGTTCAGCGGCTGTGGCAGCTTTAGGGGCGCGTTTAACAGGAGTTGGTGTGCTGCTTCCCACAGTTTTCTTGGGGCTGGAGGTCTTGGTTTTGGAGCCAGGAGTCTTAGCTGGTGTAGGCTTGCTTTCTTGTGTTTTGGGGCGGTTAGGTGTTTTGGTGTCTGCTGGCTTGTTAGTAGCAGGCTTTTTGGCAGTGACCTCTGATTTTGAAGCGGACTTGGAAGTCTCGGATTTTGCCGACTTCGTTGTAGAAGAAGGGCGAGTAAGGGGGGAGTCTGCAGGCTTTTTGGCTGCTGGCGTGGAGGGTTTGGTGACATCTAGAAAAAACGCACAAAAGCACACAAGGGGTGGTTTAACAATGTGATATTGTAGAAAATTAAAACACATCATTGATGATTAAACCCACAGTGTAATGTTTAACACATTTGCATAATGTACAGTCAAGACCCAGAAGAAAAAACCTTAGAAGGGTTGTGTCAGGAAGAATATCCCCTATAAAAATCTGCTAAATCAAACAGGTGGATCCATCTGCTATGGCAACCCCTTGTAAACAGGAAGCAGACAAACAACGTTTTATTGATCCCTTCAAAGTCACCACTGAGTTTTCTGTAGTTAACACTGTAATCAGGCCAAATATATGGAATATAAAATTGAAATTAATTAATTTATTCATTTATTGTGAGATCTCAGACCCATAAAACACATATCAGTCTTACACATAATTATAACATACTAGAGCGGGCAGACATAAACACATTTTATGTTTTAATGTTTTATTTTTACATCCATCTGAGGAAATGATGTGATCACTTTACTTTGGACAACACTTCACTCCTGTTTTTAAAGTTCAGCCACTGCTCACCAGCCTGTTTTGTCACAGGAGGGCAGACTGTACAGTATCAGTGTCTCTGATCCTGTTTCAAAGCCAGAATTCAATGTCTTGTTTTGCTCTAGAGTTCTGCTGGAGGGCCACTCTAACCAGACTGGTGCTGCTTGGAGTCTGTCCACAGGATGAGGAATATTTTGCAGTGGCCGCTCCATTCCTGATAATTACAGTCTGTACGGTACAATTTACTTATTTATTTAAGACTAAGAAGTGTGACGCCTTTCATGTGCATGCATATGTGTGTAGTTAAAATGTACTCCTACAGTACTTCTCTATCTCCACTCCATGATATGTTAACAGATGATCTCCTACCACTCTTACACCGATGACACCCAGCTGTACCTTCGATTTAAAACCTGGTGATCAGACTTGTGGATGCCTAAAGTGGCAGTGACAATGTCATGCATTTGACCCAAAACATGAATGAAGTCTTAATATTCAGCTCTGCTACTGCTCCAAAACCTCTTTGTCTTTGGTTTAAAAGGCACAGCTGCCAGTGGTGGGCTGACAGCTGATGCTAACAGTAGTTGTATTGTTCATTTTCTCTTTGTGGTTATTTATTTTCCCTTTTGTCCCAGTAACACAGACAAAGACCTTTAACACACCGTCCCTGAATAAACACTCATTCAGAAGTCCATTTTCCCAGCGCACAGCAGGGAAACACAGGTGTTACTAATGACGTTAATTAACGCTCATCTGTATTTAGTGCAGAGCTTTTATCAAAACGATTATTCACCCCTGTGTTTACCTACTAGTGCATGGAAAACGTTTGTCAGAAACATCATCTCGACTCTTGTTTTGTTACAGGTAGTCCTATTTCCTCTGCAGCTGGTGCAAAATGCGACGAGCAGGCTTCTGTACAGACTAGCACCCCATCACAACTTTTCCAGATCTGCTTTTTCATTCATTTATTTATTTATTTTTAATCAAGGGGTGTCAGTTGTTAGCCCAAAACTATGGAAGTACCCATCATCCAGAGCTTTATTCATCACTGGCATCTTAAAAACATCTCTTTTTCTTTTGTGTTAGTAGTCATAATACTTGCTATTAATTGGTATCAAATGCTATTGTGTTTCTTTTCTCATTTCTTTTTCCTTACCTTTTTTCACAAGGGTTGTGGTTTTGGATGTTTGAGATGGAGGTTTGCCACCAGAGGGGGTAGTGGAGGTTGGTTTGGGGGTAGCCGGCTTGGCGGCGGCAGAGGGAGTTTTAGGAGTGGCAGGTTTGGTTGTAGCAGGGGAGCTCTTGGCGTTGCTGCTAGTAGGTGGCCGAGATGAGCCCGTGGCAGGACGAGGGGATGAAGTTGTGCCGGTTGTAGGCCTGAAGAGACATAACAGAGAAGAAGGGTTAGCAAATACTAAGCTGCACTACACAATATGTCCAAATCACGAATGAGACCGACAGTGAAATGAATTTAACAGACAGTGAATCCCCTGGTTACAGAACTCAGGGAATGGAGATTAACTGAAAGTGACTCAAGCATTTGAGTTTTTAAAGTCACCCACATCTTGGGGCAAACATCAAGTCTCACCCTGACTGTGTGCTGATCAACCCTGTGCTCCGAGTGCTTCAGAACGGCTCTGACAGCGAGCAAGAGCTTGACATGTCAGCAGCAGACACTTCTACTGCTAAAGGGTACTTAAGAAAGAGCACACACAAGCAACAATGCTTGCATAGCTCACAACACTAACATTAAACATACATAATATTAATAATGAAAGCAATATATAATGGCTGATTTGCAATCTTTCTAGACAACAAAGGCTAGCCATCTATTTTAAAAATGAAGTGCAGAGTAGTGCAAACATCTTCTGTAATAATAAATTAAAGCATGTGCAAATAGCCAACGCACTGACCTGATTAGCTGTTGCAGCAACGCTAAATTCAATGAGTCAACGGGTTCACATAAGGTAGACACCTATTGAGACTTACCTCTTAAGGACAGGAGGGTAGACATGAATGATTCAGAGGTGCCTGAGTACTGATTTAAAAGCCTTTACATTAGTTCCCTGTCAGTTTTTGTAAGGATTTTCAAAAGGCACACTAGTAATGCACCATCAGGGCAGCCCCTGAGGTGCTTTGGCACAAATTCATTTCATTTGTTTTTATTTTTTTTTTATAGATGCAGGACAAAAACTTTGGAGCAGTCAGAAAACACATGACACCAACCTAAAAGTGCCAATTAACCCTCTCTAGGCAGACGTTGCAGATTTGCAACAGTTAAGAACTAACAACCTGATTACCCCACATACATATTTTATGAGTTTCTTTTACTCAGAAGTACCACTGGACTAGTATGAAAGCAAACTTTGACTCCAAGTCCATGACAAACTCCTCCAGGGACAATCAAGTTGTTGAAGGTGAGTCAGAGTGGCCCCAGAGAGGCACACTGACCCCAGTTGATCCCTCCTTGCCCACTTCCCTCCTCACATGGGGGTGATTCTTTGGGGCAGCGTGCGTCAGCTCTGCCTGCTCTGGCTCTCCTGGCCTAGATGCTGGCTCCTATGTCACGTCTGAGCGAAGTAACCTACATCTAGTAGTCCTGACAGGGCTGTGGTGTGCAGTCTCTCGGGCCCACGCTACACTAACTGCCTGTTTCTAAATAAAGAATTGAGTTAATACTGGCAGAAAGAGAACAGGCAGCGGGAGGGAGGTGGAGGGAGAGTGAAGATGCCTGGGACCATGTTAATCTTTAATACTGAAAGGAGAACAAATATAACTCTTCCAAATCCAGCAGCACCAGCACCACCCCTCCCCTCAGCTGGAAGCACGGGCTATGTTAAAGGCACGCTCACTTCATAAAGGCGAGGAAGTAGCGTGTGCTATTCACAGCCTGGCAAATGTACGGGAATACAGTGTGGCAACATGAAATGAGAGTGAAAACCTGATAAGGGTGTGGTGAACTCAGAGGTTTAAAGAAGCTTTTGCAGTTGATTCACATCATGCAAGCTCTGGGGCAGTGAAGGTGTGTTACTAATAGTGAGGCTGCTGGATCATGTCAGGATCGTGCTGATCATTCTGAGCTGTGATTCATTGTTTTAGCATGTCTGACGCCGACTGTTTTCTGCTAAATCTGGGAGTTAATGTTGCTCACGTTCTAGTGCGTTTGCTGTGAATTTTGCTATGGAGGCAGCGTAAAAGCCACATCTCAACTGTAAAATCCCACCTTAGTGAGTAAGATACTAAGATTTTAAGCTCTCAAATTTAGAATCTGTTCTTCAGGACAAAAAAAAGATGATGTCTGAATTAGAGAGTGAAAGATGGGAATTACAGGGAAAAGAGAATGGGGAGAATTAAGAGATAGAGACTGGCATTAGAGATGAAGTATGCTAATGGGATATTCAGAGAGAGCATTCATAGTAATCTGCCTGATAAAAGGAATGTGGATAATCCAAAAAGGCAGGAGGACTTTAAAGAGCGCTGGAAATTAACCAGGTCACTGAAAAAGAAGGAGGCGCGACGGAGATGGAGACAGAGACAGTGAAGGAGATTTCTGTTGAGTTGTAATGCGTATCTACTGGCTCTCAGTCCAATTTACTTGGATCAGTATTTCTTTACTTGTGTTTATGTTCTTTTGTTCTTGCACTGGTTTTGATTATTTATTACCATGATTTCCTTCCTCATTGTTAAACATGGCCGTCTCCACATCCACAGTATTGTAAGTCTCCATCTCACAGTAGAATTAGATCTTGTGTGTTCCAAGATTAGTTTACCACAACTTGGCTTGTGGTGACGAAGCCTAAACACGGTGATGTTTGCTTCTGTAATTAAGCTCTCTTGTCAGCCAAATGACTGAGAAGACTGCAGGACTCATTGTAGTCTTTAAATGATGCGCCTACATTTAACTCAAAGGGCAGCTTGTGCTAAGGGAAAGAAGCTTTGTTTATTGTTCTCATCCCACCACAGGCCTCGCTCAGAGAAACACTATAAATTGGGGCTAAAGCAAATTGTTCAACGCGACACCGAGAAATGGACCGAAGCTGAAAAATCAGATGACTCTCATTGCTACAGGCGCGCTGTAAAATATACTTAAAGACGCCCGAGGATCACTGATGACACTTCAGCTGAGAAAGGATTGCTGTGTGCAAAAACATGGCTGCCTGCTGGTGGTGCTTTGTTGCGATCCAACGGGATTCGGGGCTATGATTTAAATAATGAGATCGACAAAAGGGGGAGGCAAATGAGTAATCAGGAGCAAAGCAGCCGTGCAGGCAGACATCTTCCCTGCAGCACAGACGGCCATCTACGGTGGAGACGAGCTTCCTTCTCCAAAGACAAGCAGATAAATTAAAGTATGATGCTGTGATAATTAAAGAGGCAAGATAACCCCTCCATTAAATGAACCTGATCAGAGCTCTGCTCCTTAGAGCGCTTGTTCCTTTAATAAGGTGTTTTTATTTAAGACAAAGGTTGCAGTAGGGTAGCCCTAAGCAATGCAGGTGTCACACTGCTCTGCAGCAGGAAATGAGCACCTTGAGGCTCCATGATTCATAACCTGGATGAAATTTCATCTAAACCTTATCTAAATGTGAATCGAAGAGAATGATCACTGCAGGCAGGGTACTACACTTCAGTTTATGTGAGGGATGTGTGCGACTTCTCGGCATACTTAGTTGGTTAAATGAAAGCACAGGATCAGATACATGTCAGATCTAACATGTTATCCAGTCACTCGCCACTACTCACTGCTGCAGCTCTCACACACTCTGAGGGGAAGTTACAAACGAGTAAGGTGGAAGCTAACACAGACGACAGCTTGATGGTTCTGCAGTACTTTGATCCACGGATCAGCTGTTGTACTTCACGCAGGCTGCGTCAGAGCAAAGTGCCGTATAAGCACTTGACAAAAGTATTCTGCGCTCACGTGTGGATGTGCTAGCTGTAAATGATTTATGCACGCTTCAAAGTGCCACACATCTTGTCTTGTGTTGACAGTGTTTAACACGTCTGTTAGATTTTGCTCAATTCTGGTGGATTTCTATTTTCTTACTAGACTAGTTTCCTCTTGTTTAACCCTTTATCACAGAAGTATCATACAGGACATCTGGCCTCATTTTATAACTCAGGCTGAAAAAAAATGCTACTTTGATACCCCAACAATCCTGTAAAGCTCAGCTTCTCCCCAAACAGTTTTTTTCTACCTTAAACAGTAACGGCATTAAAGTCATTTATAGAGCGCTCGTAAAATGGGCCAACTGCCAGAACCATGATAAATACAGGCTGGGTTAAATGGAAACATCTCCAGTGGTTGACCTGTTTAACCAGGATGCAGGGTGGATAAAAACATATCACCTCTCTAGTCTTTGAAATGTTTGACTAAAAACTGCAGTGTTTGAAGAACTGCCACATGTCTTTATCATGAGTGGAACACCCACAAACAAGTCTGCCTCACATTCAATCATACTCTGTCCCTCCCTCCGATTACTAAATCCATTTAGTAATTGGCTCTGCGGCTGCTCCCTAATAACATCATGGCAGCGGGACTCTGCTTCGTGGAGTGGTTGGCCACACCCGTGGCACGGGGGAAGATTTACAGCCTGCGCTGTGCGTTGTTTGTCTTCATATCGGACTGCTGAACACTGTGTGGCACGAGCTGCTGCTTACCACACAAACCGGTGTTGGACCGTTACATCAGCAGTAATTTGTTAGATGACGAGGAGGGCTGCATTCATTCCCCTCCAATAAAAATTTATCATCCCCGAGGGACCATCAGCGAGGAAAACACCATGACTAATGTGGGAACATGGGCAGCTGAGTGGGCAGCATAAAGGTGATGAAAAAAAAGACCCTGATAGCTCAAAGGCTACCACATCTACTTCTCTGAGTGCATTTATATAGCACTGAATGCCCTTGATCTGTCCTCTGATTTCCAACAGGGCAATTTCTTTCCTTTTGCTTCAAGCAGAGTTAACCTCTGCTCCTTCCTCCTTTCTCCACCTCTGTGCATCTTTCTCAAACACTAATTTGCTGCATGTAGAGCCCTAACACGACAAGCATCTCTGGCAGCAGTGACGGGAGCTCATCAGTGACGTATGCGATCGCGAAGCATCCATACTCCACCGCCACCATTTTTGTCTTCACTACGCCACAGCTAGAGACGGCAGAGCAAGCAGGAGAACCCGGCTCGGCGTCACGTGACCGTGTACTACGTGTCCAGCGCGCGCGCGTACGACTCCCTTCCCCCCACCTTTAAGTCCACATCATACACAGCAATATATCGGCAAATGAACACATGCTCTGCATTCTAATGACATGCTGTTTCTCCAGTGCAATCATCCGTGCACACACAAAAGCACCTATAAGGGGAATGCACAGTGTGCTGCAGTCTCCTATTGGGCGGTTTTCATGCTAGACACCAGCACTCAAGTCTCAATGCAAAACAAGAGAAAGGCAAGAAATTGGTAAATATTCATGCACACAACCTAGGACATATGCTACTAGCACACACCCTGCTGCATGTGTAGGTAATATAATGTTCAAAGATCCAACAGTGATTTCCACTTCCTGTGTTTTGACACAAATATTTTCCCTCACATGCTACATGCTGTATGCAATCAGCATCAAACAGCAGGTGCACATATAACACGTACACACAATTTAATGAGTGTCCAGACACAAGACCTTTATGAAAAACAGAGACATGCACATACTATAAAGTGAGCAGGTAGCTATACTCATGCACATTGCAAACATGCTTAACAAGTTTAAGCTTGATGCTGGTGATGTACTGCTGACACAACAGGCTTCATCTTCATTGACAAAGCCATCTTTCTGGTAACTTTAAGAGTGCGATTACGAGGTTAAAGAGAACGGAAAGGATGAGTTACAAGAAAGAGTCCCTGCTGTGTTTAATGTAACTCAATTTTGCAAAAAAACAAAAAAACAACCCCAAACCCTCCAGCTCAATAGAGAAAGAAAACATTTATAAGTGGCCTCAAATTACATAGATTGATGTCACTCTGTGAACCAGCATTTGCTGTTTGTCTGATAAGTGAAATCTGCTTTGGATGGAATTAAATCAACTGAGTAACACTGCATAAATTGAGAGCCCCAATGTGTTTGAGTGTGTGTGCGGCAGCAACAGGAGGAGAGTGCGTCTGATGTGGCAGTTAATGTGTCTGTTGAGCTCTCCCCCACTCTGCCGATGGTAGGCCTGAATTACGGAGTGAGTGAGGTAGGAAAAGGGCAAAATCTAATTAAAGCTGAAATTTATGGCCCTGTCAAAGCACATCACATTTACTAAAGCAGACATGCACATACACACACTTAACAAAGCATGCCCACAAGGGTACAAGGGGCTGTCAGAAGAGCCAATCGTGACTAATAGTTATACTTCTCTCATGGGGATTCATGGAGATTTACTGCAGGAGGAGGCTTCTCTGGACTACACATCCAATGCATGAGCACATGCACCAATAGCACTGAATATCGCATCTTATAGATGCCTATAATTACAACCTCAGCTCAGTCTTTTGAACAAAGTGTTCACGTTACCTACTCAGGCTATTAGCTAAAGATTTAGCTTGGCATGCTTACAAATAATAATAATAATAATAATAATAATGATGATGATAATAATAATAACAGAGAATGTGTTAAGAATTCAATGTAAAACATGGATATTGACATGGATTGACATGAAGACTGAAGTCACGCTGGATAATAAATGGATTTCACCCTGCCAGCTCTGCGGTACAAAGCCTTTGTAATGACTGATGGAGGCGAAGTGGGAACAGAGCAGCCTTTAAATGTCTGAAATGGCAAATCTGGCCTCAAACCGTGACATGGTTGATGTGTGTGGAGGTGGGGCGGTTAGCTAATAATGCTGTGCTGGATTAATGTAACAATATCCACCCTCTATAATGCTAATTGTGTGACACAGACTGAACAGCGGATGTCTGCACGAGCACTATGGTTGACAGGAAAGAGTGAAACGGGTGAGTTTATTTCCACTTCCAATCTCTAGCAGTGAGTCATTGGTAACCTTACTTTTACAAAGCAACGAATTAGCACTTAGCTGACCTGAGTGTACCTGAGATATCAGCTTAACAGATGCATTTTTAAAATTTCTTTCAACTGGAACAGGAGGCTAATAACAACGATTAGCTAACCTGTTACTAAATTCAAGCAAAATTCCATTTTAGAAAAGCAAAAAAAACAAAGATTTTAGCCATTAAATGAAATTTTAAAAAGTAAAGAAGAGGCGGGATACGTGCAACTGTGTTGCGAGTCTTGATAATAAATCCCATAGTTTGGGCACTTTACAGTGTCCCAGCTAGCAAGACACAATCCCACAAAGACAATAATCTGAGAAGGATCGGGCAGTGTAAGCGAGTAAATAAAAATCATCCAGCATCTAATAATCATCAGTCAGTGCCCAATAATTAATAAATGTTAAATTCATAGTTAATTCGCTTTTACTATTACCAATCAATAAATTCTATATAATGTTATGTTTGGTGCCCAATAAAAGGAGGGAACGACAAGATTCGGATTACTTTGGGACATATAACATTGTCTGTGCTGTGTATTGATATACTCTGTGTTTGTTGTTGGTTTGTGATAAAGGTTTCATTATTCATCAGTGAGCCTGACCTCACACCCAGGCCACGAAACACTAGCTGGTTAGTCAAAGCTGCTGGCGTGTTAGAGATACCCACAAGGCGTTAGTCCTGTGATCAGTGTGTCAATTTACTGTTTATTATTCATGGGGTATATAGAGTGTTACAGATTTCTAAAGCTAATGTAAAATTATTATTACATGTTTTAAAGTGTTATGTGATGCACAACTAAAACACCTGCGAGTGAGTTTCATCTGCATAGATAAATTGCTGATTAAACACTGGTAATGAACTAACTACTGAATACAGCCCTAACCCTGATAGTGCTCATGTGTGTTTAATGGTTTTATATTTACAAGGAGTGGAGACTGATGCACAATGGTGGGACGTGACGGAGCCGGTCGGTATAACAGAAATGAAATCATCAGAGCAGTTCATAAACACTGCACATGAGTATTGGGCACCGCAATATAGATTATCAAAGTGCCCTTGTGTAACTCGTTTTAATAAGATGTTTGTACATCAACCATTGCATAAAGCTGTAATCTGAGTGTAATCTCCTCAATCCAACTGTTACCTGTGGCACAGGGAGAGTGAGAGAATGGACGGGGGTGGGGGTGGGGAGGATCTAAAACACTTTGCGGGTCAGGTGGGAGAAAGTGGTTGGCAAACCAGTGTGTGCTGGGAAGGAAAATGTTAGTATAGTGAATAGTATTAATACAATATATAACATACTGTCAGTGATTTAACAGGGGAGCTAGCTACAAACAAAATCGAGCTTTCCTCGGTCATATAAGGACCATCTTCGGGAGCGGGTATAGCTCACCGTAAGGCTATTATGGCCCTGCACTTTCTCCCAGCTTTCTTGTCTTCCCTCTGCTGTCCAATATAAAGAAAAGGCTTTAAAAAGGCTGTCTTCCATTCTGTTACAGCAGCAGATGTGTGTCTGAAAAGCATTTTTAATGTCAGCAATTATGATATTTGACTGTTTATAATTCCTTAATTTGCTATTGAAGAAACGTAATAAAGAGGTTTATCTGGATCATTCAGGTAAGGAAATCCAATGAAGTTGATTCTGTTCATCTGGATGTTGAGTGAACAGACCCTTCTGCTGTTGAGGAAGCAGCTTAGCTGGTCTTTCTTGTTATTAACCTTTCTAAATATACTGTTACCGCCGTCATGTTAGCACAAAGTTGCAAAAAGCAGTGGGCTAGCTTAGCCTAGCCTAAAGAATATGAGAAAGAAACATCTAACCCCGACCTGATCTAATGCTTTCTAAGCCCACTAAGCACTTTGTGTCTAGTTTGAACTCTTTTAAGATGCTATTTTTGGACACTTGCTTTTTGGGTGGATTAAAAACATGTTATAACAAGATACTGTAATTAGTGAACTTCAGAGGAGTTAGTGGCCAAGAATGGTTATTACCTCTAAACTGAGCTAGGCTAGCTATTTACTTCCTTTTAATTTGATATCTTTCCAATTTACTATTTTCTGAAATGTCCAACTTTTAGCATCTTCCTGTGAATGCTTACATGGTCGATCTCTCAGAGGCTATTTGTTTACTCCAAATAGTGCAATCTCTTTGAGATGGTGTTTCGAACTCAACAATGGGTCTACACACAGACATACCAACAAGATGACATAACACGACAGGGAAAAAAAGGAGGCTTTGCATGAACAAAACAAACAAAGTCAAAGACGAGGCAGAAGGATCAGCTATTCAAAGAGCAGCTTGAGTCCCAAAGGCTCCTCTGCCCAATCATGATCATCGCGGCGTCAGACAAAGGCCTCCTTCAGCCTCCTCGCTTGGTCTGTTGCCAAGTCACCTCAGGATTCGGCACCATGCATACAGCGTGACTCAGGTGAGGAACACATGTTGATCTGATTTCCACATAAACATAGTGTCACAGCACACACTGCCACACAGAAAGAGCGCAAAAATAAATAAATAAATAAATAAATAAAAAAACACCCCCAGAAAAATATCTTGTTCTTCGTTTCATCTTCCCAACGCTCATCCTCCTCTCTCTAAATCCCTCCCCAAACTTGTTTTATTAATAATGCTGTATAATGATGAAAGCCTGCAAGGCATTACTCTAAGGCTTGTTCTGACATTGCCTCGTTGCTGGCCTACTTATGCCCGGCCCCTGTGAGCCTGTATGTGGGGGACCATTGTCCCCGATTCCCCCAGGGTGCTCTTTCTTAAACAGCGCCCTCTTTGAACCTGTAGCCAAGTGAAAGCCTTTTGAACTAACTGCTTCTCACTTGGCACTGAAGAGATTTGTAGTGCTTAGCTCAGTCCCTGCAACTCTTATCAGTTTGGTCATATAGTTGCATTTGCAGCTGTTCTGAAGCAAATTTTGAAATTTGGTAGCAGTTTTCAAAAGGAAGAAAAGAACACTGAACATTTTTGCCTGGAGGAGTCTGCGTCTGCGTTATAGATAGCAGCCTGTGCTATCTACAAACGCACAGAAAGTATCTTTGTGTGTGCTTGTATGTGTAAACAGATTGACACACTTGAGCACGGCTGAGGCTTCAATCCAACGCAAATGTCACACCTACCTGGTTGTCTTGGAAACGGGGGGCTTATCAGGTTTGGGTGAGGCAACAGAGCCGGGCTTGGTGGAGGCAGGCTTGGGAGCTGGAGACAGGACAGGAGAGCAGAGGAGGGGAAAAAAGCAAAAAAAAGAAAAAGAAAAAGACAGCAGTGTAAAACAATAAGAACATTATTATATGCTGTAGTAAAGAAGTTTATAATAATAATAATTTTCCTCAGATATAGGTCAGGCAGACAGCTTTTATCCAGTGTGTCACAAGGATCTAGGGCAAAAACATTTATAGTTTAGCAGGAGTCACTGTAGCATGTCTAATATGTGAGCTGAATTCATCTGACGAGCAGCTATATGCATATCATCACATTACAATGAGCACTCCTCATTAGAGCTTTGAAAACATTTGCTAGAATGCTAGAATTATATTTGTCTTTTCACGCTGATCTTGATGACATTTTCACCAACCTGGGGGCTTTTTAGCTGCTGCTGCTGCAGCGGTATTGGATTTGACACCATTAGCATTTGTGGATGGGGTCTTTTTGGCTGCTGTCGTTCCGGTGGTTGACTTTGCGCCGTTGGTGGCAGGAGCGGCCCCTGTGGCTTTCTTCTCAGACACTTTAGCCAATGTTTTGGAGGCTGGGGCGCCGGCAGTTCCTGTTGGTTTTTTCGACAAAGCTGAGGTCAGGGTGCTCTTTTTGTCCGCTGCAGGCGTGGTCTTCTTAGCAACACCGTTGGTCTGAGGTTTGGACACACCATTTGCGACGCGGCTCTGCGATGTGTTGGGCCGTGAGCCGGTTGCAGCCTTGCTTTGAGTGGTGTTGCCGGGTTTCGTCTTGGTCGCGGTCTTGTTGGTACTCTTGGCTTTGGGGTCTCCCGAGGTCTTGTTGTTGGTCTTGGCAGCTGGGGTTTCCTTGGCCTGGTCTCCCTGTGGTTTTTCCTGATCTCCTTCACCCCCCAGCTGCTGTGGCATCACCTCTGCCACCCCGCTGGCTGCCTGATTGGGCTCCTGGTCCCCGGGTGGTGCGCCATCATTCACGGGATTGGATTCCAATGTTTCCATTGGCTCCAGCGCTGCCGTGGCAACCCCATCCGGCTTCATCTCCCCTCGAATGGCCGTGGTCTGACACTGCAAGGCAGGGCTGACTGGGGTAAGTTGCGCGGGACGGCCACAGGTCAAGATGCGTTCTGCAGATGTTAAGGGTTAGTCTGGAAGGAGAGAATACACAGAGAAGCTCAGTTAGTCAGCAGCAAGACCAGACATGAAAAGCTCTCGCTGCTATCAATAGATGGAGGCCCAGGAATGTTGGTACCCTCAGGAATCAGATAAAGGATAAGCTTATATCTTCTAAGAGCTTCAGCACCACACATTCAGAAATACTTTTACATAAGTATCAGAGAGGTGGAATAAAACTGTAAATGTGCAGAAATAGAACAGTATGTCTCATTAAAGTATATAAGGGGGGACTAAACTTCTACAGAATATGAAAAGCAGACAAAATTAGTACCAACTAATAGCAAAATGTGCATGAAGTCTCAGGAGTTATAGAGGGAAGGACAGAACAACATGTTTACTGCAGAAACAACACATTCTACTAATAGCCTTCATTCATTTCAAAGGCAGCTGCACTGCAGTTGCAAACGGTCCCCTCTGTGGCACGAAAAAGCTCAGTGACACACTTGGCCAGTGTTGCTGTGATGGTTTTTTCTTACTGCAAAAGACATCAAAGTCACTAGTGTGGAAGACTAGTTTTCTAGGATAGTACATTTAAGGGAGTGCAAAAAAAAGTTTATCATGCAGATTTGCATGCACACACACAAATGTACAAGCCACCTGCAATAAATGTTAAGACAGTCAGCTTTTATAATGGAGGAGAAAAGTCAACACAGCCTGCTTCCCGCTACCGGGCTAAAATGGTTATAAAAAGAAAAGTAGCACGAGGTGGGAGAAAGACTTGGATGTGTTTGCTAACTGGGTCAAGGCAAGTACAATAAACCCAATAAGCCCAAAGGCAGGCGGCAGTTTGACTGATGGTATGCAAACAGAGCAGTCTAAGACATAAATGAACATGAAGCATATGAGGCCTGAAAAAGGTCACAATCTACAATAAAATAGGTCCACATATCTAGTTTTTCCCCTGCTACTTTTGCAGGGATGGATCAGCAGAAAAGGACAGACCTTCACAAGTTTAAGAGCGGGGTGGGTTGGGAAAAGCAGGAAACTGGCCTGCTGAAGTTTACAAACAGAGCAAGGAGCCGGCTGCGAGGAAGGCTAAGCAGTGAGACAAACGCTTAGGCAATACAGAGGCCGGCCCAGAGGAAGAGGCTTGGCCTGTAGAGCATGGGAACAGAAAGAGAAGGTTGGAGAGAGAAAGGGAGAAAAGAGATGGGGAGAAAAGAAAAAAAACGCAAGACAAAATGAGATCACTATTGGCTTATGTTTGCTGGTATGACGTTAGGACCCAGACATCAGTAGTCATCCCAGTTTCCACTGATCTAAACTTGTATGCGCACACTCACTCTCCTATTTCGAGACGAGAGGACAGACTTCATCTTTATGCCGATGGCTTCCTGGAACAATTCCCTCACTCACTTCATCTTTCCTTCCCTCATCTTCGGTCATCCACTACTCATCCCCTAAACTCAATCTCAAATGTCAAAAGGCCTTCTTTCTTTCTCTATTGATCCTTCCTTTCTCCCAACCATACCCCCCATCCACCCACTCCCCTTCAATTTCCTTCCTCCCCCCAACTGCTCCCTCTCTCCCTCCATCCCCTCTGTTCTCTGTTTGGTTTTGCACAGATGGCCGGAGCAGCTGAGCAAGGCCAGAGGGGGAAGGAGAAAAGGATCCGTGTATCCCAAACAACACATAAGAACAGATACACACAGCTAGTGCAACAGGCCACTGCTCAAAACAAGCAAACAGGCTGAGAGGGAGCTGACGGGTAGCTGCTGGGAGGGACTCATGGTCACAGGAAGGTTTTTAAATGCCACGAAATGTGGGGTGGTTGGTCACAGATTTTACCAGAAGGGCAGGGTGGGTGATGAACAGGGAACGGAGCAAGGTCTGAAGCAAAAGATTTGGGTTTCATCATCTGCACTTGTCTTATTCAACATTTTAGGAAAAACCCTAATCTGCTTTTTTTGCCTAAGATTAGATTTTAGGGATGATTCATAAAAGTGGATGTGGATGTGCAGTATTCAAATGCCAGGCTAAGAGTTTTTGGGGTTTTTTTGCAAAGCTGACGGAGCAGACTGGCTGCAAGATCCAGTTAGATAGTCAGAGTTATGCTACATGGCGGTTGGGGGGGTCAAGCCATGAACAACATATTTGCAAACGTGTGCAATAAACTTGTGATCTTGTTGCCTCTGAAATGGTTGCTTTGAAGACGGGGACCAGGCCTGTAACCACTCATAGTTGGCTTCCATCTTCAAAGTGACTTTGGTACGTCAAGATGGCAATAAGACAACAAAAAGACAGAAAAGTCAGTCTGCTATCAGTTTACAATTGAACGGAGTCAAGCGGACACAATCTGTTTGCAATAATATGGTGATAACTGTGTTAAATCAGCAAAAATTGCAAATCCTTTCTCATCTGCATATACAATCTTTCTCATTTAAAACTTTTATTCAGACTCCAGCAAGAACTCTATAGATTTGAAACAGAAATCCCACCACAAATAGAGTCTGCATAAAAAAATATATGTGCTTGGCAACCTTGCTTTATAGTCAGCGTACAACACAACAAGTTGGCAACCAGTTTCCAGTTGTTCCGCTCATAGCCACAGACTGTGCCAAAACAGATTGCAATATGTTGTTAATATGTCTGTGTTAATAATTAAGTTAGGTGACCGGTGGAATTTCCTTACAACCAAAAGTGGTATTAGGGGGGTCGAACTGTAAACTTCTGGGCACCTAACATCTATTTCTTTGAAGAAACAACCATCTGATGTTATTTATTCTAAATCCTGCTCCACCAGGTGAAAAGTTTTCTATAGCAATATAACGTGTGGGGCTAAGAGTAGCAAGACAATACACTTTGCACTGAACACTTCCACATTTTGTTCAACAACAAAACAAAACCTCATTCAAGTTTTCCCACTTCTAACCTTGGGCAGTTCCTTTGTTAACAGAAAGCCATGTGATCAGCTTTGTATATCTAGAGTTTCATTACCCAAACGTCAAGGCTTCATTTCAGAGTTAAGTCCATGAGTAAGTACAGAGCTAAAGTAGTCACAGCTAGTTTAGATATATCTGACAAAACAACCAGACATATCAAAGACAAGTGAATGTTTAAGTCTTCAGGTAATGACACCAGGTTCATTATTAAATTGTTATATGAGAGCAGTTATTTTAGACCATTTTATTTTCAATTTAAGATTGTAGGTGACCTACAACATGACATACTACACGAAGAATCAGCAAGAAAACACTCCCTAGTAACAATTTTAGTAACAAAGTAACAAAATATTTGTTTAAAAAAAGTAAAAGACAAAAGCCTGTGTATAAAAAAAATCAGTTCAATTCAAATTGAGTTCTAGTCAGCCACCTCAAGGTATATTGGGAGGTAAAGATCCTAAATAATACAGAAAACATCCCAACAAACAGATGACCTGCTATGAGCAAGCACTTGGCAAAAGTGGGAAGGAAAAACTCCCTTTTAACAGGAAGAAACGTCCAACAGAACCAGACTCGGGAAGGGTTACGATGCTCGGCCACTTGGGTTACGGTGAAGGAGAAATGACCCCAAGAGTGCAAATCAGCAAAAAACATCCAATCATAAACTTAAAATGAGATCCAGACCGATACATCTTTAGGCGAATATCAGCCTACTAAAAGATAATGATATCAGAATTTTTCACCTACAAAATTGGTGAAGATATTTTCTCCAAAATATAGTCAGGCTCTAATTAAAATTGTCACTCTTGGCTCACTAATGACAGATGAGAAATATATAAAACATAAAGGGACAGAAGAAACATATTGTAAAAACAATAAGCCACAATGCAGGATCTTGACACTCTAATCCCTTTAGCATTTTATTCAAACTCACCACCCTGGTACTCCTTAATCTTTAATACAAATCTGGAATAGCTATTAACACTGTGACCTAACGTGACACCAAAGTGAACCAGGAAATAAGACTGTATCTAATCACTACTCCCTCCTCCTCTCTGTTTCTCAGACTCTGGTGTGCAGTTTATGTTTGGCTGCCGCTCTTCCCACAGCAGACTACAGCATCTGGCCATGATCTTCAATTCACTGCTCCTCTCCAAATTGTGTGTGCGTGTTATAGAGGGAGATAAATCCTGAGTGCATGTTCACAGCCACAGGAACATTTCTCTTTCTCCTCCAAGTTTCCAGATAGCTGTGAGATTGTACTCACAGCTACCTGGCTCTTTGGCTCACACGCCCTCCCTGCGTCATCAGGACCATCAGTCAATGGTAGGCATAAACAGGCTGGAAACCAATGCAAGAATGTATGTTTTCTCCCCCCATTCGCTCTCAGAGAAACTGACAGAGTGAGGCATCCAGGCCACATTAATACACTATCGTGATTCCAGAAGCTAAATAAACAGAACTGAAGTTTAAGAGTTCATGTTTAGTTTGCTGCCAAAATGAAATTGCCTCCTGGACCTTTAATACTCCAGTATCCTGTTAGTGTTTTGCTTTTTATTTGACCTGTCTTTTCATCAGCCTTTTCTTGCCACGTTCCTCCCCCTTAAACTCCTTGGCTTCAGTTTTTTCGGTTGTTTTTGGACTATTTTAAGAAATATGAACTCATTTATAAACTACAGTGTGCACTTTCCCATATTTAAGCCCTTGAGCTTAAACATTTCTGCTATACAGTCTTCCTCAATGTGTTCCAACAGCTTTACTATCCTAAATTTCAACCTTAATTAACGTGTCTTTCCCAACTGAAACATCTTCATTGCACTAATGCTATTACAGGTTTTCATTAAGCCTAATTAAATTAAAAGCAGTTATAATTTTCCTGTTGCTGTGGGGGCAACATTTTAAAGGCTAAGCGTGATAAATGAGCATTTTCAGACCTTGTAAAATAATGTTACAAAACACTGGACAGCTGTTTTCTACAAGCTGGGTATAATAGTTGATTTCCATTCGGCGTGGTCCTTTTTTTATTTATCTACGGAGGATCTTATTAAGAACACCTCCTTTCCAACTTCATGCTTTACATTTCCTCCGAT